CATTTTTTTTTTTTTTTGTTTTGGTTTGAAGAATATGTAGAGCTCACTGATTTGGTTGCATCCTTTTTGTCCTACACAGAGCTTGAAGCATAACCCAAATGGAAGGTTCGTTGTTGTTTGTGGAGATGGAGAGTATATCATATATACTGCTCTAGCATGGAGAAATAGGTCATTTGGTTCAGCACTGGAATTTGTTTGGTCTTCTGATGGAGAATATGCTGTTAGGGAAAGTACGTCAAGGATTAAGATCTTCAGCAAAAATTTCCAGGTTCACATTCATCCTCCCAACTGGTTGCCTCCAAAGGTTCATTGCATCATGTACCTATCAAAAGAAAAAACAAAAACGAAGTTGATTGCATCACGTATTATTTGAGTCTGATGATGCACTATTTTATATATTTGACTTGAATCAACTGTTTCTTTCCGACCTGCCCCTTCTATTTAAAGCCTTTGTTTGCAGTAAGCTTTTACTTCGTAGAGCGCTTGATAAGTGAGTTTTTTTTTCACATCCAAGCGATGAGTTATAGTGTAATAAATGCATTGGCTTCTCTTTTCTCGAAGCTGAAGCATGCAATGTGTCATGGTTTCTTCTTGTTTGTGTGCTGGCCTAAAAGGTGAATTTGGTGATATCTCCAGGAAAAGAAGAGCATCCGTCCTACTTTCTCAGCTGAGCGCATCTATGGAGGTACTCTATTGGCGATGTGCTCAAATGATTTTATTTGCTTTTATGATTGGGCTGACTGCAGGCTGATACGGCGAATTGATGTTAATGTGAAGGTAACAAACATAAGCTTCACTTCTATAGTAAGGTTGTTTTACTCAGAAGTCGTAACTTCATTTACGTTGTTTTTTAATTTATTCAGAACCTGTACTGGGCTGACAGTGGTGATATGGTGGCAATTGCAAGTGATACATCCTTCTACATACTTAAGTACAATGTGAGATCTTCTTTCCGAAATCTAAACTACATATGCTAAAGTTTGTTATTCGTTTCTTTGCATAATTCTATTAATGATCATCTGTATGTTTGTATCATACCTGCAGCGTGATGTGGTTTCTGCCCATTTAGATAGTGGAAGATCAGTAGATGAGCAAGGCGTTGAAGAAGCTTTTGAACTTCTTTATGAGATAAATGAACGGGTCAGGACGGGAATTTGGGTTGGCGATTGCTTCATTTACAATAATTCTTCATGGAGACTTAACTACTGTGTCGGCGGTGAGGTATGATTGGTAGTGCATGCTGCTGTTCTTGCACGTATATCCGGAGAACTTCTTATCTCATGTATGTGAATCAGCAAATTATTTTTTGTATTTTTTAGGTGACCACAATGTTTCATTTAGACCGGCCTATGTACCTGCTTGGATATCTGGCTAACCAGAGTAGGGTTTTCCTGATTGACAAAGAGTTCAAGTGAGTAGTCTTCTGGGAGATTTTGATATTGGATACTTTGGCCTGAGATTATGATTCTTGGATAAATGAACTCATTTCCTTTCTGTGCAGTGTCATTGGATATACTTTACTGCTCAGCTTGATCGAATACAAGACACTTGTGATGCGTGATGACTGGGACAGAGCAAATGAGTTGCTGCCATCGATTCCTAAGGAGCACCATAATAGGTAAATCACATGTTTAAGTATTGTCTTAGGTCAAAAAAAAAAGATTGTCTTCGGGGAACATGATAAATGTTGTGCATGGCCTTGCAACTTCCTTGAATTTTCAATTTGGCTGTAGTATGTCAATGAGCTGGATTTTCTGGGTTATATCAATGGTATCATTTGTGCTGTAAAATGGTTCTATTTCGGGTTACTTCAGAGTAACATGCTGCTCTTATAAACGTATTCCATTTGTTTGTATGGATAGTAGTTCTGTTAACTTTTTGTGTATTTATACGTTCAGATCTGATTGATTAATCAAATCTCTTCTCTGAAATTTTAATTTGTGATGCTTTGTGTTGCTATCACATAGTTTCTGCAATATCTAAACCTTCGGAAGGGGGTGCCGGTTTGATTTGTTTTTATTGCAAGTTTCCTAAGTTATCATCAAATGTATTCCCTGCTAGTGTTGCTCGTTTCTTGGAGTCGCGAGGTATGGTAGAGGAAGCATTAGAAGTTGCAACAGAGCCTGACTACAGATTTGAACTAGCCATACAGCTGGGAAAATTAGATATTGCAAAGGTGGGGCTTCTAACTCAAAGCATGTGGTTGGACTTCCATATGTTCTTTTAAACTTGTTGCTTCGAAAGAACCATGTGTTGTTTAGAAGTGTGGCCTTGTGATTTGGCAGGATATTGCAGTGGTAGCTCAGAGTGAGTCCAAGTGGAAGCAGTTGGGTGAACTAGCCATGTCTGCTGGAATGGTAACATTAATGGGAATCTTATCTTTGCAAAAATTTTCATGCCTGCTTTTAGTTTTTTTACCGGAAAGATGTACGGTTGAGATTTTATGAATGATGTCGTGGCTTGTGTAATGCTGTTGGTTCCAAACAATACTTGTTTAAACTCTTTCTTTTAGCTTAACTCAGACTACTATGAAATATATCATTCAGAATAAAGTTAAGTTATCCAGCTCTTTCTTTTGTATTCAAGTGGTAGAGGGTGCTTCTTAGTTTGATCTCTTCAGATGCCAGTAGTGCTTCTTTTCTGAAACGCACACTTCTTTACTTTCTTGAGTTCTTCAGAGTTATTGCTCATTTGCTATGTTTTATAGCTGGAGATGGCAGAGGAATGTCTGAAGTTTGCCAATGACTTGAGTGGTCTGTTGCTACTCTATTCTTCACTAGGAGATGCTGAAGGAATAACTGAACTGGCAAATTTTGCCAAAGAGCAGGGGAAAAACAATGTCACATTCCTCTGCATGTTCCTTTTGGGTAAAGTGGAGGAATGCATTCAGCTATTGGTTGATAGGTATTTCTTGTCACTAAAGAACTTGTTGTTTTGGGGTGTTTTCAACAGTTTGGATTGACATATAGAGTTACAATTTATTTGCAGCAACCGGATACCTGAGGCTGCTTTTATGGCTAGATCTTATCTGCCAAGTAAGGTTTCTGAAATAGTTGCAATTTGGAGGAAGGATCTCAGTAAGGTCGGTGTTTTTCTGATTTGAGCTTTCTTATCTATATACATCTTCTGGATATTAAAAAAAATCTATATACATCTTTTCATGAATTTCTGGAACTTTCGACCCAATATCTGGTGGGATGGCCCACCAGAGAGATCTGTTAGAGCTGCGCAACCATCTAGATTAGATTTTCATTTCAGTTTTTAAACTAAGTGGGAATGAACTTCTTGGCGTAAGTCGCTGGTGCAAAGAAACATTGGAGCTCTTTACCTTTAGGACTTATTATTTACACCTGTGATTGGCATCAAAAGTAATATTTTTGGACAACTTCCCTATTCCACTTGCATTTTGTGTATTATCGCCATGGAATGGCCACAAGAAATATGGTTGATGAGTTTTCTGAGTGGCCACTGTGGCCAGGAAACTGACAATTCTGGCATGGATAGGTTGTACTCAAAAGTGATTATATAGCTTCATGCAGGATTACACATTGCTCTATTATCTGTCGTCCTATAGCAGGAAATCTGTTGTGCTTTAATCTGGTTTGTTCATGAATCTGTCATGCAGGTTAACCAGAAAGCAGCAGAAGCTTTGGCTGATCCTGAAGAATATCCTAATCTGTTTGAGAACTGGCAAGTTGCATGTGCTGTTGAAGCTAGAGTTGCAGAGGAAAGGTGTTGATAATGGCTTTCTCCACTTCCCATGCATTTCTTCTCTATTCTCTCAGACTGTTTCTTTTGAAAATATTAGTACTTTTGTTAGACCTGCTTTATATTATGGGAGTTCCTCGTTTTCCTTTGAAATTCTCAAATCTTTTGGTCAATTTTTTCTCCTTTTCTTTTCTTGCTTGGAGAAATTTTGCACCAATTTGGACAACATCTAATTTCTGATCCAATTCCTATGTAGGGGTGGCTACCCACCAGCAACTGAGTATTTAAATCATGCTGATAGATCAACTAACAACCTTGTAGAGGCTTTCAACAACATGAGAATGGATGAAGATCCACTTGAAAATGGAGATACGGACCACGAGGTATAACATGATGTGTTTCTCCATTTGCCTTCTGGTCAGGGTTGATTTGGCATTCTGTGAATCTTTTTCATAAAAGAGAAATAAAGAACCATATCTTTATACGTTACTAAGAAGATGTCTTTTCCTCGGTGTTATTTAATACCCATATTGAGCAGCTTAGACTATCAACTGGTGTTTGTAATTGAGAACAATTAAATGTCTTTGTGTTAACTGTTCAGGTTGCACAACAGAGTGGTGATGAGGTACAAGAATTGGAGGCAGATGATGCACAAAATGAGGAACAAGAAGAGGCTGTGGTCGTGGATGCTGACTCTACTGACGGTGCAGTACTCATTAATGGAAACGAGGCAGACGAAGAGTGGGGTACGAATAGTGAAGGAAAACCGTCAGCCTAAAAGCAATTGGTTAGGCCGGTGTGAAAATCCTAGTTTTGTTGCTGGTGATTAATTGAATTTCTTTTTTATGTGTTTTGACACCCATGCCTTTAGATTCTTCTGTTGTTTCTATTATGCTGTCCTGTTTTTATCATCTTTTATTATGTTTGTCTTTAGAAAATGTTGAATAAACTATGACTTACCGGAACATTTACCCTCCCCAGACCCCACTTGTGGGATTATACTGGGCATGTTGTTTTTGTTGTTGTTGTTACTGGAACATTTAATGAACTTCAGCCTAACCCCCTTCAAGAAAGCTACCCCTTCAAGAAAGCTAAATTTTGTAGTCTGTTCTATTCTTCCCTGTGGAGAAGTTTTTAAGCATATGAAATTATCAAGCCTAGCTGACCGAAAAATTTGAGGAACAGAAAAGATTTCCGTCCATTATGGGGTTGCTGATTTGGCATTCATATTGTTTTGGCACAAATTAGTACAGTTGCTACCTTTTCTTCTTGAACTGGTTTTGCCTTTTATCTGATTATCATTTATCACTATTATAGATTATTTTGATTTTGCCCTTCTCCCTCTGTCTCTTATACTTTATATTGATGCTTTTGCAGTGCTTACACCACGTCACTAGGTTCATTCAAGATGGTTCCAGGCTTCCAGCTGTATGTAATTCGTTCTTGTGGTATACAAATTAAATTTTCTCCATAAACTGTTGAAAGCGCATGTCTGTTAAAGGCTCATCTGTATGTCTACACTTGATTAGGTGTCTCAAGTCTCATAAACCTCACTGTTTGCTCTATTTGCTCAAATGGATAAAACCTGAATAACTTCGTGCTTTGTTCTTGAAGTTGGGCACTCTGTTCAACTCAAAAAATAATGCCATATGGCAGGGTGTTTGTGCCCTCTGAGGAATATAGGATTATTGTGTTATCTAGTTTTCCACCTGCATAATGTTAGTCAAGTATATCGCTGCTATACCTAATTGGCAGTGGTCAATTGTCCTACTTCGGCAAATCTCAAGTTCTACTTGCAAAAGTATCGCTAATTACCAAGCTCTTCATTTCTTCCCGGTTAAGATAGAAGTTTTATGTCTTGGCTCATCGTAATAGTGATTTTTCTTTCTGTTGCAGGTTCTATAGGTGTTTCCTTAAAAGAGGGCGATCAAGGGACCGAGGATGTATGTTCCGCCAGTGGTGAGCATTGAGTTTTGTAGGCATACTGGATGTATGTTCCCAGCTTTGGTTGTTAGCTTTAGTCACTTATAGTTGTTTTATAATATTCTTTCGAGGCTTACATTTTTCACCCTTCAAAATCCTTACATGCCATTGTCACTGTAGAAAACACTTAAAACCATATACGGAAGTGGAGCTAGTGCAGAAATTGTTAAGCTCCATGTCGGCATGTCCTGTGCCATACCCCGCTATAATTATGTTCAGCTTACCCGTTAATCCACTCCCATTAGTTGCAACACTTGAAAAGCGAGAGGATTTGACATGCTGTTTTTTTCCTTTTGTTTTGGTACATTAGAAATGACTAAATATATCTTTTAAAATATTTGAAAAACTAGGAACAGCTTCAAATAAAACAGCTCTATTGGGTTATCAACGCCAAACTAAAGCAAGCTTGGACCTAGCTCTTTCACATAAACCTTAACTTGTCCGGCAACTCACACCATGTTTTAAAAATAAATTAAGGAGAATAAACAGTGAAGCTCTCAAGTCTCACCTTTAATGTTCAAGTCTGCAAGTACCATAGGATCTGAAAATTAATGTACTATACTTCCAACACTTTTGCCAATTTGGAGCTGACATCAACTAGAAAGTTGAACCATTTTATACCAAGCAATCCGGGAAACAGCAAAATAAATACAGAAAAATAGTGACCCTTATCTGTTTGTCAGGAAAGCAGAACTTTGTTTAACATTAACTGTAATAAGAAAATCAATGTCAAATACTATCACCGGAAATGTTAAAATGCTGGATAATAATCTCCAACCCTTTTGTATCCTCTAATCATTATTCTATAAGTTACGATATCAGGTGAGATGTTCTCTTTTCTCATTCTATCAAACAACCTCTCAGCCTCATCTATTTGATGTAAACTTGAGAATTTATCAATGAGTCAATTTTAAGTGACGACATCAGGAGAGATATTCTGTCTTGTCATTTCATGGAACAACTCCTTGGCTCGTCCATCTGATCCAACTTGCAAAATGTATCAAAGAGGAGTATAAGTAACAACAATAGGCAAGATTTCTCTTTTTTGCATGTCGCGGAACAAAGCACAAGCCTTGTTCACATCTTCAATCACAAAGGCCAGCGATCATGGAGGTGTAACAGATTCTCCCTCTGGTTCTGCTAAGCATTTTAGAAAGAACTTACTATATGGGTCAAAATCTGACCACGAGTGAGTTATCATTAAAAGGAATGGTAAGGGGTCGACCAAGCCATAGTTGTACCCACGTGGCGTAATAGCGATGGGTATCTCGGCCACTGCCGAGATCGAGCCATCAGAAGGCTTACACGGCACAACATATGTCGTAATACTTGGGCGAGTAAGGAAGAGTATAGTCAAGAGAAGGTATGTTGGTTAAAGACCGTTGGATAGAGGGGAAGATTGGTTATATATATATATATATATGACAAAAGAAGGCAAGAAAGGGGGGTTCCCATCCGAGAAAAAAGAGGAACAATGTATCAAAGATGATAACAGGAGAGGACCTCCAACAACAAAGCAAAAGCCTAGATTTTGGTTAAAACCCTTTGTAATCATCCTTGTTGAATGAATAAAGATAGATCTCATAGTTATCAATGACTTTCCCTCTTTTCCTTCTTTGCTCTTGCAAGTACGGAACAATGTATCAAAGATGTAAGCTTATCATTTATGTTTGATGTATTTTAATCATCTTAAGAAATGTTATACAAGCTCGGCCTCCTTCGATCCTCATATTAAATATGCTTAGATCTAGAGTTAATTATGTTTGGCTAAGATTTACCCTCCATTTTTTTTATTAATTGGTTTAACGAAAAGCTTAACACTTTTTGATCAAACAATTTGGCGCCGTCTGTGGGGATTTCTTAGCCAAATCTTTTAGTTTCCTTTAGACCTAGAACCATCCAAGTATCACTTTCAGGCTGTCATAGCTTCACAATCTCGGTGAAAACACCAACTCGAAAGAATGGTAGATAAGCTTTTGAGATAACCGTACCAATCTAGGTTTGATCTCTACATAAAATAGAAATTGTAACCGATGTTTATGCAAAACCCACGCCTCGCCTGTAGCGATGGGTTTGGCACGTCATATGCATGTTTAAAGTAGAATCACTGTCACTATGCGCTTGGCATGACCGCAACCTCATTTGACATATTCACCTTATATACCGATCCGTACTTCCACCTCTTAGGAAGGGACGATAGCCTATTGTGTGATCCTTTGAAATAGCATGCATATCCTGCCTTATTTTCGTACCTACGTGCACTGGGTGATTTATGAACAAAGTATGACATGTTTCCCTTATTTTTTGCACGTATTGGACAGGGTCGGACTGGGACTCGGTCTCGGTATCCCAACGTGCAAGGTAAGTCCAACCCATGAGAAGCCTAGGCGCGATTAACGACGAAGCCGAACACGGATACCAAATCTAAAATCATCATTCGAGTACGAGATGAAGCGAGCGACCCTACAACGCTGTTCCTCCTTTATCCGACTTTTCAAGGTAACAGGCAATTTTGTTTGGGTTTAATTTATTACGTTCTCTTGGTTGGTTCAGAATAGGAACACGAGTACTCTCACGCGAACAAGGAACGAACACCACCAAAACATCCCAGGAAAAAGTTCTGTACCATGCCATCTCGCAAGCAACGACCGAGCAAAGCCCTCTAAGCCGTACCGTACTACAAATAATAGAAATGGTTCGGCACGAGTCGACTATTGAGAAACAATCTCCAGAACAGGGGAATCACCCATGAAACGCATACTATTTTCCAATAAAAGCAAAGTTAAGCAAATTGGGACTCACCCATGAAACACACAGTATTCTCCAATGAAAGCAAAATTAAGCAAACTGGGACTCACCCATGAAACACACAATATTCTCTAATAAAAGAAAAATTAAGTGAATCGGGACTTGCCCCGACGCACGCGTAAACAATATGTTAACGAGTAATGTTCTCTAATAAAAATAATACAACAGGTTATAATTCGACCTCGCTCGAATTAACACCCTTATGACCATTAGCCATCACCAAACGAAAGGAAAGTTCGACCTCGTTTGAATATATAAGTCAGAAACTGACTTCGCCCAAGATGGCGACTCCAAGTTCAACCTCATTCGAATATATAAGTCAAAAACTAACTTCGGCCAAGATGGTGACTCCAAGTTCAACCTCATTCGAATATATAAGTCAGAAATTATCTTCGCCCAAGATGGAGACTCCAAGTTCGACCTCGTTCGAATATATAAGTCAAAAACTAACTTCGGCCAAGATGGTGACTCCAAGTTCAACCTCATTCGAATATATAAGTCAGAAATTATCTTCGCCCAAGATGGAGACTCCAAGTTCGACCTCGTTCGAATATATAAGTCAGAAACTGACTTCGTCCAAGATGGCGACTCCAAGTTCGACCTCGTTCAAATATATAAGTCAAAAATTGACTTCACCCAAGATGGCGACTCCAAGTTCGACCTCGTTCGAATATATAAGTCAAAAACTGACTTCGCCCAAGATGGTAACTCCAAGTTCAACCTCATTCGAATATATAAGTCAGAAACTTTCACCCAAGATGGAAACTCCGAGTTCAACCTCGCTTGAATACATATGGAAAAATTGACTTCGCCTAAATGGTAAGTGAATTCAATCCCACTTGAATATACAAGTCGAAACTAACTTCGCCCAAGATGGCGAGTCTAAATTCGACCTCATTTGAATTGAGGATGATTTCGCCTAAATCGGCAAATCAGAATTCTACCTTGCCCGAGCTTGCAGAACCAAAGTGACTTCATTCGGACTCACACGACGAGGTCCTACTCGATCCGGGCAAGGTCGGATTCCCAACTAAAAAGATTGGGGACTCATCACAAAGAAATCTGAAGGTCTACGCAAAACAAAATAATAACAAATGGGAGGGAAGGAAAAAGAAAGTCAAAAGATACACAAGAGAAGGAAAAGCAACTATTTCATTCAAATATATGGGCACAACAACCGCACCTTACGAAAGGCCAAAATAGGTCCTCAAGAGAAAGATGAAAATAAACAACAACAAAAAAGTACAAAAGTTGCAGCAAAAGTTTCACTCGGCATCATCCTCACCGCCATTCTCCTCAACATCATCATCATCATTATAAGGGAGCCCATCCTCAACATTAATGCCCTCAACAGCCTCCGGTGTCGCAGGGTCTTAACCGCAGGCAGCACGAGCCTTCGCCTGAGCATTTTCAAATATGGCCTCTGGGACATTCCCCCCTTCCCATAAACCCTTGTATATATCACGTTGAGCCTCGTCATGGACCCATATCTTATACAGGCAGCGGGGAAGAATGGCCGAAGCGGACTCTTGAGGGGGAGCTTGAGCCAATAATTGTGCCTTCTCGGCTTCGAGAGCCGCAACCCAATCTCCAAAGATCGAAGCTTCCCGATCAAGCTCTCCAATTCGCTCATCGAACCGTGCCTCCTTTAGCGTGGTCGTTGCTCTCTTAGACTCCTGATCGGACTTGAGGACGCGAATAGTATCCTCTAGTGCCGCCGCTCTCGCCAAAGCCAACACTCGAGCATTCTCGGCTCTCTCCATCTCAGCCACTTTCCTTTCTAGCTCGACCACCTTCTCCGTACATTCTGCACTCAGGGCGTCGACCTTAGTAGCATTTTGCTCAAGCTCAACTCGTAAAGATGGCACCTTTGCCTGAAGGTCCTCACACTCTGCGACAACCCTTTTGCCCACCCCAAGCTCTTCTTCCTTGGTATGAAGCATCTCCTCAAGCTCACTACATCTGCGGATAGACCGCATCAGTTCCTCATCTCTCTTCTCCAACTCCTCCCTGGTAGACTGGGTACTAGAGCCCGCTCTGAGCTGCTCGTGCATCTCACGGCATCTATTGCGATACCGTCGATACTTCTTGGCCATCTTCAGAAAAATCTCGGCCCGTGTCTTGGCCCTACGGGCACTCTCGACCTCCAGTATGTAAGCCTAAAAAGAGAGAAAAAGGGAGAGAAGAAAGGAGTCAGTAAGGACAAAGGTGATAAAGCAAAGAAAACAAAAAGGAACTCACCTTCAAGCCCATCGCGGCCACACCATGTGACAACTCGGAGTCGCTAACATCCTGAAGAGCTCCGCTTTTAGCGGCAGAGCATAGAAGATCATACTGCGGCACAAAATCCACCGTGTCTTGCAATAGGTTGAGGTCCAATGTAATTTCGAGTATTCGGGAAGGGCCTCTCTCTCTTACTACAGTTCGGGTAAAGCCCTCGAACATCCTCATGT